TCTATTTTCTGGATGAATAGGATAGACGTGGAGGAAAGTTGGCAAAACCGAACGACATTATAGAAATAGACCGAAGATGAGCAAACTTTACAGTACTCTCACGCAGATAATAGAGCGTCCTCGGCGGGGCTTTAGAATTCGGCCGTACCTTTGCAACTATGAGATATCATTTCACGATTTTACCGCGGAAAACTGCGATACCTTCTTGGCTAACATTATTGAATCAATTCATTTAATTTTCAAGGTCGACTGCTATCCTACAGTAGAATACTTTTAACGTCTCTGCGCTTCATCGCGCAGGAGAATCAATTTTTACTTTTTGCACTCTGTGAGAATCCGCTCCAACCGATTAGGAAAGAAAGGACGAGGACTGTGGATAAAACATCGTGCGTGTTGAAGGGGTCCTGCTATTATTTCTAGTAATATCAACTTCCTTATGGAAAAGATTGATGAGGCCTAGAGCATGGTACATAAAAAAAATCTTGGGTTTATGCTGCTCCAGGAGAGCTGGGTACATCCTGACATTATTGTCCGGCCTGATGGACTTGATGTTTTCGAGATGATCGGAGCGTGGACTTTATGAACAGAGGTAGGCAGTGTAAAAACTCCGATCTTTGGTAGTATTTTAATACCAGTAAAATAATATGCAGTCCCGCTCATTAAAAACCCCGTTTTCTCGGTGATTTCCATCATATCTTGATAGTAAACACGTACATTGCCCCTAGAAAGCCCGTTTCCCGCATCCGAATGTCTGCCGACTCATTCTCGACACAATCCGTGATAGAATTGGGTCAGTCTGCGTGCATCGCGGCTGGTATTGATCGTTTCAATATCTCTTTCAGAACAATACTAGATTTGGCTAATATTGTGCATTTTCCCACATGTACATATGAGTGGTAGGTGAAACTATGTTAGTTCACCGATTCGGATCAAGGCAGAGAATCGGATACGTCAAGACCAGTCTGGGCAACAACTGTCGCGAGATGTGGTCAACGTTAAGGCAACTTTGTGGCACACAAAGAAGACGAAGAGGAACTAAATCGGGAATTTTTGGCCCCATCTATTTCTAATTGTATTGTATCGTATTGTCCTGTAATAACTCCTGTAGGCATGAAGTCTACATTTCAGTTAAAAACAATACAAGTTGGAGCGAGGGAGAAAAAATAACCACCGACCGATTGCCCGTACTTCAGCGCTGACGACAAGCCTCCCCGACGCTTACGATCCATTTCAGCTTGTTGAGAAACCTTTACTTTGGACTTCTGAAGCCGTTGCACGCATTGTTCATTTTGTAGCCTCCATTTGAGATAAGTGTTCGCCTTATTTGCTTACATTATATCACTTCCTCTGGTTTGCGTGACCGTCACGGCTTTGATCTGGTGTGTGAAACATTCTTTTAAACAACTTCTTTTTCAGGACACAATTCAAATCACTCAAAGGTGAAAGTTTGTCATCTTTTGGAGTTAACTCTGGTGTTTTTCAGAGGGCTATTTTTTTCTTTTTCTTTTCCCCGTACATAAACAATCTGCCGGTTCCTTCTAACTGTATTGCCTGCAAATATACTGACGATGTGGTGATTGGGTGATCCTCCAGTAACGATCCATCTTTCCGTTAAGTTCAGGACAGTCTAAACAATATATTTAGTTGATCTCTGCTCCAATCCCTTATGCTTGATAGTTCGAAACGTATTGATGTTTCCTTCAAATTTAAGTCTGGCTCCCGTTATCACGCTACTCTTAATGATCTAACTGAACTCGTCGTCTCGACCATACCACTGCCAAAGCCAACTCGGCGTCATCCTATCAGACAATCAGTTCTGGACTAGCCATGTAGAGAAAGTCGGCAATAGGGTTCGTGAACTTTCTTCTGATGCTTTCAGAACAAGCAAGTTTGGTGTTCCAATAAATTTGATTTTTAACTTGGCGATCGCATGCATCTTTTCTCATAGGTTATACTGTTCCCCCGGCTTGAAAGAAAAAGATTTCATATTAATTCCCAGAGCAAGCAAACTTCTTCCCGGCTGATGATACGGCTATAAATGTCCTGATTGATTTAATGCGTGAAAGCATACCGACGCCTGTGAAAGAACAGCCAATATCATATTGAAGACCATTGCTTGCACAAGAAATTCCTAAATCAGTGTCAAACACCCACACCTATTCCCATTATAAGCTCCTTCCTCCACATAAAAAAACAGTATCC